AGTACTTTATGTATTTATTTATTTATTTATTTAATTTTGAGACAGGGTCTCACTCTGTCACCCAGGCTGGAGTGCCGTGGTGCCATCTTGGCTCCCCGCAGCCTCTACCTCCTGGGCTCAAGCAATTCTCCCACCTCAGCCTCCCAAGTAGCTGGGACTTACAGGCATGTGCCACCACTCCTGGCTAATTATGTTTATTTTTTGCAGAGCCAATGTCTTACTATGTTGCCCAGGCTAGTCTTGAACTCCTGGGCTCAAGCTATCCTCCTGCCTTGGCCTCCCAAAGTGCTGGGATTACAGGCATAAGCTACCACGGCCAGCCTCTCCAAGTATTTGTTTTACCCTCATGATAGCTTATTGATTTACTCTAGTTGTTTTTTTCAAATATGCACTATTTCTCAGGAAAAAGCAATGACAGAACATCCCCCAGAAGCCTTTGAGGGTGTCTAAGTCTTCTGTTTCTTTCTTTGTTTCTTTGTTTCTTTCTTTCTTTTATTTATTTATTTTTGAGATGGACTTTCACTCTTGTTGCCCAGTGCGGTGGCATGATCTTGGCTCACTGCAACCTCCGCCTCCCAGGTTCAAGTGATTCTCCCGCCTCAGCCTCCCGAGTAGCTGGGACTACAGGCATGTGTCATCATGCCCAGCTAATTTTTTGTATTTTTAATAGAGATGGGGTTTCACCATGTTGGCCAGACTGATTTCGAACTCCTGACCTCAGGTGATCTGCTCGCCTCAGCCTCCCAAAGTGCTGGGATTATAGGCATGAGCCGCTACATCCGGCCAAGTCTCCTGTTTCTTTGTTAACTCTGATATCAATAAGAATTCTTTCAGCTGCAAGTGACAGAAGACTCAATTCAAACTGCATTAAGCAAAAAAGCCATTCTATTGGTTCATGTAACTCAAAAACCAAGTGGTAGGTCTTCAGCTACAGTTTGATCCAGGGATGCAATGAATGTTAGGAGAACCTGGCCTTTTTAGTCGTAGTGGCTATTTTGCCTTTTATTTTGGCTTCATCTTCAGGCAGCTCCACTCTGCATGGTAGCATCCAGAATCTCCACACTTATATCCGCAGAGTTCCAAAGGCAGTGGGAAAGAGTTTCTAACTCCAGCAAAAGTCCCAGGATTCACCCCATTGGGCTAATTCTGTCAATGCCCACTTCGATGTGGCCAGAGCTATTTGGCATGCTAATTGGCTACATCTGAACCAGAGGAATACTTAATGGAAAGCACAGTTGAGCCCTTCCGAAAATCATGTGCTGCAGGTGAATTGAGGGAATGTGGTTTCCTAAAGGAAAACATAGAAGTTTGCCAAAAGAGGGGTAAATGGATACTGAGTATGGAAAAGCAACAACTGTCCACTACAGTTCCCAATAGCTCACAGAAAAAGACTCAGTAATGTGGCCTGTGGTGCAGACTAAATTGCACTGACAAGGTGCTGGTTCTGTCCAGGCCCTTGATACATTTGCACAGATGCTGCTCCATCTAGCCACACACAAACAACACAGAGCAGTTGTGTCCCATGATGGATATGAAGGCTGCTCTCTCAGCCTCCCAACTGCTCTGGCATAGGGGACCCTATTTGTGATTTATTCAGTAATGGGTCTCATCCAGGCTACTCTCTTGGCCTCCTGAAGCTGTTTTTCCTCCTTCTGATATAAAAATAACACTTAAACAGGATCCCCAACCCCATGTCCAAGACAAATCAGATCTCCAGAGATAGCAGCCAAATTCACCCTAGGGTCAGGGTGCAGGGTCCTTATTATATACCCAGTCTGCGAGTGAGCCAAGAAGTAGGGTTTCAAGAAATATGATGCCATGCCCAGAGGCTAAAATCAATCACCCAAGGAGCATTTATTACCCAACTGAAGCAAGTACCTTCTGCTGATTTGCCCTGCCAGAGGATGGGTGGGGGCAGGCTTGTGGTCAGAGCAGGGTGGGAGATCTGAGAGGCAAAGGGCAGGTGCAGGGTCAGGGGAGGGGCAGGGCAGAGCTCTTCTTGAAAACTGGGAAGTCACTATGCTTTTAGTGTTGAGCAGCGCTGGTGTCTACCCCAAGCTGGAGTCCTCCTCCACCGCAACCTTGACAACAGCAGGAGATGGCTACTGAAGGGTCAGAGCCCTCCCGTGCCTGCCTGCCTGCCTGCCTTCAAAGTCTCATAGTTGGAGGTCTAGAGGGAGCAGGTCTGTGTGTTCCATAAAGCTTAGTGGTTATAAATGTGATGCCTGAGTCTGGGTTTGATTCTTGGCTCCATCCCACTAGCTTTGAGATTTTGATCAAGTTACTTAATCTATTTATGCCTTGGTTTTGTCATCTGTAAAACTGTAAGAGTAAAAGTATTTCCCTCATAGGGTTGCAAGGGATTACATGGGACACGCCATGTAATGTGTTTTGCACAGTGTGTAGTAGACACTAAGCACTGCATGGACAGGCAGGGTCATTATCTACATATGTAATTCCTAATCCTACCTCAATCCTGCAACATAGATGTATTAGTTAGAGAGAGGCTTGGTTGCTATAACAAAGGTTCAATTTGTCAGCTGTTTAAACAAGACAGAAATTTAATTGTCTCTAAAGTAACAATCCAGAGGTAGGCAGACGAGGACAGGGGTGGGGGATGTTCTATCATTTTCAAACTGCATTTTCCATCATTGGGTTCAGTTTGCTGCTCCGGCTCCCACCATCGTATTGTAATTCTAGTCAGTAGGAAAGGGTTCCCTTTCCTCCTAAGGGCACCCTTATATCATGTAATATATATGCATATAACATTGCTGCTCAAATCTCATTGGTCAAACTTAGTCACATGGCCATACTATCTGCGAAAGAAGCTGGGAAATATAATCTTGTATTCAGGTAAAATTGTGGCGATTTACTAATAGCAGAAGAAGGGGAGAAGAGATACTGCTCTGCTAGAGCTCACCCATCTGGCCATCCCACACAAAAAACACAGTTACTGCCCTTCAAAAGGAGGCAAGTCAGAGTTCCATCTGGATATAGCACCCAGCTTAGAGTCCAGGGGTGGGCAGTTCCTTCTTCCACATAGATGGACACCCCATGGTCTGGTGACCTAAAAACTAACAGGCATGTGATTTGCACCCCTTAGACACCAGTGGAGGAAGAAGAGGGTAAGCTCAATGAAAACATCTACTCATGCTGGGCACACTGCTATGCGCCTGTAGTCCCAGCTACTGAGGTAGGAGGATCACTGAGCCCAGGAGTTTGAGACTAACCTGGACAACATAGTGAGACAGTCTCAAAAGAAAAAAAAAAAAAAAAAAAAATTCCACTTGCGACTGAAAGAATGGCAAACACCCAGCAGCTGCTGGACCTTAATTATCAAATCTGGTTGGGCAGGAATGGCAAAGCCCCTTCCTGGCAGTGGATTAAGTTCTTGGTCAGCACATTTGACCACTCCTGGTTCCGCTCTCTGGGAAGGTCTCCCCTTTCCACTCTCCTTTGTAGTCTCTGGCTTTGCCTGCTGGGAAGCTGTTCCTTATCCAATACCCTCTGTCCTGCACTGGCAAACTTGTGCTTTTTGCAGTCGTTCCAGTCTTCATAGCCCTCTTCCTGCTGGTGCGGATTTGGAGGGCTGGGAATAAGGCAAGGGAAGTGGTGTCAAACCAGGCTTTGCTGATCAGGTTTATGGTTTCTTTGCCAATACAACACCCTCACAATCTTAGAAGCCTTCTGATTGGCTCCATGTTTGAGTAACCACAGCCAATGGCTTCAGGTAGACCTTATTTTTATGCTTGAATACTCTGGACTTGGTGTTCTTCCTACTCTCCTTTCTCTCAAACTGGTGGTGGCTATCTTGAGTCCATTTGAAAAAACATGCTTCGTGTGAAGGAAATTCTCTCACCCTGATCTCTGTCCACTGAGCCAGTTCCCACTGTCTGGTGAGCAGATGTCCTTGAGAAAGGCTGGGGACCACAGGAACAGCCCTGGCCAAGGCTGTCCTCCCGACTCCATTCTCCTCCACCCTCCCCCTTGCCGGAGTAGGAACATTGAGGGTTGATGGAAAACACATGTAATAAATTCAGCCAGAAATCCACCAGTCTGTTGTTGAGTGTCCACTCCAGGGCCAGGGCTGGGATGGAAGAGGCTGGAAGGAGGATAGAAAGGGAGGGGCAGAGAGAGGAAAGCCGGAGCAGCTGGGTCAGCATTCCCGATCCAGACATTGACTCAGGCTTCGGGAATGCCAAGGAAGGGGGTGGCAGCCGCTGGAGCCAGGCTGGGATCCTGTTGGCACCAGGGATGTAGGCACAGCACTCACAGAGGGATGGGGGCTGGGACACCTGCACACCCAGACATATCTCCCAACCACAGGTGGAAACAGGTGTCTCTTCCCCCGCGGGGAGCTCTGAGCGCTCCCCACGCCTTCGAGGTGATTCTCACAGCTCTTCACCTGCCTGAAACACCCACTCCACCTCCTCCACCTGAGAGAGGGACAGGCTCCAGGGACTCAAATCTGGACATCTGGACATACATTGGCTGCTCTCCTAGAACTACCCACAAACCCCTTGCCTCATCTCTAGGCTCTGAGCTGGCTGCAACTTGCCCTTTCTAATTCCAGCACCACCCTCTACTGAAATTAGAACAAGGAAGACAGTTACACTGACCTGCCTCCATGTTCCCTGCTTTGGTGCCTGATAATGATGAGGGAGGCCCTTGGAATAGGGGCTGAGAACTCTGAGAGCCCAACTCTGCCCAGCGCCCATGCTCCCACATGCTCCAAGCCACCTCCCCCAATAAAGGGTTCCTCTAGCTTGTCCTCAATGACCCAGGAGGGAGCTGAGGACCAAGCACCCAGATTATCAGGTGCGCCCCTTCCCTCCCAGCAGCCCCCAGCCTTCGGGGCTGGAGCAGCTGAGCAAGTAGGGGCCCCTCCCTCTCATTGCCTGACACCCAATCAGAGAGAAACTGATCCTGGCAGGGCAGGGTGCCCGGGGCAGGGCAGGGTGCCCGGGGCCGGGCCCAGAATAGTGCGGCCCAGTCACAGTGTCGCACACTTGCCCTCCGTTGGTCTGGGGCTGGCCACATGGAGCCAGAGCTGGAGCACACACTGCACAGGGTATGGGGGTCCCAGGGGAGCTGGCGCCGGAGCTGCTGAGGCCAGAAGATTGAGAGCACGTGCTGTGAATGTGTGTCTGTGCGTATGTGTCTTTTGGTGTGTGTTTGGTCTGGATTTTCTCGTGAATATGGGCATGTGCGTGTCTGGGCATATGTACTGTGAGTGTGTGTGGTTCTGTGTGCCTGGGAGCGTTTGGATGTGTGTCTTTCTGTGTGTGTTTGTGTATGGCCGTGTGACTGAGCATGTGTATTGGTGTGCATGGGTATGTGGGCGTGTGTGCAGGGAGAAGGGGTCTGGGAATGTAAGGCACTTTCCCCACTCCTTCAGAAAGTCTTCTCCCCACAGACCCCTTCCTGGAGCAGCCTTGGGGGTTCTGAGCATCAAGGTAAGGAGACTGCCCCCTCCCTGGGGCCTAACCTCTTCCCCCACTTCCTTGTCCCCCACTTTTCTGGGACCACATTCCCTCCCAGCCTGGCTTTTATCTTCCTTCTTTTGGTTCTTCTTCCTTATTGTTCTTCCTCCTTTCCCCAGGTGTGTTTCCCTCACCTCCTCCTTCCTCGTTTCAGAAGTGACTTTCCCACTTGCTGTGTGATTTGCGGCAAATTGCTTAACCTCTCTGAATTTCTGGTCCCTCACTAGCAAAACAGGGATGATAATAATGCCTGCCTTATAAGGGTGCTGTAAGTTTTAAATGAGAAATATGTTGGAGAAAAGCCCATTGGAAGCTTGCAAATCCTAAAGATTATGAATAACATTTGAATTGATTTTTCTGTATTATTCCCTATTAATCAAGCAAGCCCCATTCCCCTTCCAGAGATGAGCTTCCTAGAGCAAGAAGACAGCAGCTCATGGCCATCACCAGCTGTGACCAGCAGCTCAGAAAGAATCCACGGGAAATGGAGGGCCAAGGCCTCGAGATGGACAAGGCAGGAGGTGGTGGAGGAAGGGGAGCCACCGGGTCAGGGGCAAGGTGAGGCCAAGGCCAGTTCTGGGAAGATGGGAGCCAGAGCAGTGGGAAGTCCCAGAGGAGCCTGGATCTGGGCTCTCACTCGGGTCCCTCCATAAAACACAGAGTTGGACCCAACCCTCATCTTGTGGCCTCAGTCTCCCTACGTGGTAGAGAACAACTGCACTGCGGTGCCGGGGGCCAGCATGGCCAACTCAGAAAGATGGGACAGAGCCACTGTCTGGGGTGACTCTCAGGTCAGCCTCTCACCTGCAAAATAGGGCCACAGCATCCAGGCTTCCAAAGGCTGCTGTGAGATGAACGGCGACAGCAGATGAGAACGTGCTTTGGAAGATGGAGTTACTGTCCTCTTCCCCTCCTCCCCCAAACAGGTCCCCGGTCCAGGCCAGCTGCTGAGTCCACCGGGCTGGAGGCCACATTCCCCAAGGCCACACCCTTGGCTCAAGCTGATCCTGCCGGGGTAGGCACTCCACCAACAGGGTGGGACTGCCTCCCCTCTGACTGTATAGCCTCAGCTACAGGCTCCAGCACAGATGATGTGGAGCTGGCCACGGAGTTCCCAGCCACAGAGGCCTGGCAGTGTGAGCTAGAAGGCCTGGTTGAAGAGAGGCCTGCCCCATGCCCGTCCCCGCAAGCCCTATTTCCCAAGCTGGGCTGGGATGACGAACTGCAGAAACCCGGCGCCCAGATCTACATGCGCTTCATGCAGGAGCACACCTGCTATGATGCCATGGCAACTAGCTCCAAGCTGCTCATCTTCGACACCACGCTGGAGGTGAGGCCATGGCTCTGCCCAACCTGCACTCGCTCTGCATCCACACAATGCTGCAGCTACCGCTCCCATCCTGCAGGATGCCCTGCCAAGCCAGGTGCCCCTGCAAGCCCCCTGAAAGGACCCCTTCTTAGCACTATGGAGGCCATTTGGGGGAGGGAGAGCTTCTACTCTCTGTGAGCACACGTAATTTTCATCGCAGCTCTGCCACTTAGTATCTGTAGGACTTTGAGTTACTTTACCTTTTTCGTCTCTAAAATGGGGATCAAAATGCCTGCTGCACCCTACATAGTTCAGAGGATTCTTGGACTACCCAGTATAAAGCATGAGCAAAGTATGTGTAAGACATTGCAAAGGCCTGGCACAGTAGCTCACATCTATAATACCATCAATTTGGGAGGTCAAGGCGGGCAAATCACAAGGTTAGGAGTTCGAGACCAGTCTGGCCAACACGGTGAAACCCCATCTCTACTAAAAAAAGAAAATACAAAAAAATTAGCCGGGCGTGGTTGCAGGTGCCCATAATCCCAGCTACTCAGGAGGCTGAGGCAGGAGGAGAATCGCTTGAACCTGGGAGGCGGAGGTTGCAAGTGAGCCGAGATCGTGCCATCGCACTCCAGCCCGGATGACAGTGCGAGACTCAATTAAAAAAAAAAAAAAAGACATTGCAGAGTCACTTAGAACAAAGAATAGGGGACTGTTTTGGCAACAGAAAAAAATAGTGAGCTCTGGCACCTTCTTTTCCATTAGGCTAAGCTATAAACATCTATAATCTTATTCTTATCATTGTTGTGCCATGCAGCCTTTCCCAAAACATGGTGTATGTATTGTCCATAGCACATGTTTTGATTCTAGTGGTTCTTGAACAAATATGCCTATTTCAGTAGCTTTGTGTTTGTTTTAGGGTGTGTTAAAAAATATAACCAGCATGTGCAGATAGTACTGTTTAGGACAAGGCACAAAATGAGTCAATCTAAAATTTGTCTACAAAACAGTATGTAGATATGCAAATGTTATGGAAATAACTATGCCTCCGGTACTTAGGCTATCAAAAACTAGACTGTGTCTGTACACACATGCCCTCCAAATGGAAACATGAAGTTAGAATTTTTCACTCCCTGGTGTGCCAGGTGAGGGGCTCAGTGTCTCAGGCCACAGCCTTATCTATGTACCACATGTCCGCAGCAATGATCATGTCTAGCGTGTACTGTGTCATGAGAAAGACAGGCCAGCTGGTGTAGAGGAGGGTCCAGGAGAAGGCCCCATGGAAGAACCCTGGGTGAGACAGGGAGGGAACAGCAGGCAGATGGGAGGTGCCCACTGAGGGGCAGAGAGGAGGGTGAGGGTCTCTCAGGACCCACCCTTGACTGTTCTCCCTGGCCCCTCAGATCAAGAAGGCCTTCTTTGCTCTGGTGGCCAACGGTGTGCGGGCAGCCCCTCTATGGGACAGCAAGAAGCAGAGCTTTGTGGGTGAGGAGAGGCTGGGGAGGTGAAGGGAGATGGAGAAGGGGAGGTGGGGACCTCATACGGTTGTTCTGGGGCCAATCTCTGATGTAGCACAAGCTTGGCTTCAGGCCAAGCCCAGCCAGGGGCCAGGGTGGGGGAAAGTCCATCCCGAGTCTGCGTGGCCAGCTGGGAGACCCTGGGGCTCAATTTCTCCATCTGTGGAGCCGCTGTGACCAGCTGACACCTTCCAGCTCTGCTACTGCATGGCCCCATGCCGTAGGTGCTAGGGAGCAAATGCGAGGAGGCAGGAGAGAAAGAGCCCCACTTCTCAGGCCTGGGGGGCTGTCCCACTGTCCTCTTCCCACAGTCCCCACTGTGTCTCAGTGCAAGGAAACTGGCAGGGTGGGGAGGGGATCTGATCTTCAACCTGCTTCCCACCCAAAGGCCCCAAGCTGACCTCCTCCCCGCCCCTCCCCTGCAGGGATGCTGACCATCACTGACTTCATCCTGGTGCTGCATCGCTACTACAGGTCCCCCCTGGTGAGGAGTGGGCTGGGAATCTTATGAGCACCCAGGGGGGCGGGGGCGGAGGGAAGTCCTCCTGGAGCCTGGTACCCTAGAAGCCCATGTCTGTCTGACTTCTGGAGTCCTGTTGACATCTCTAGGTCCAGATCTATGAGATTGAACAACATAAGATTGAGACCTGGAGGGGTGAGTGGGGAGAGGAACCCGGAAAGGGGCTGTTGGTGAGGGTGGGCCAGGGCCTAAGGCGGAGGATGGGCAGGGGGGATGTCCTGGAGCGAACAGGGGAGGGACAATAGGAGCCCCGGGTGCCTGAAGGAAGGGAAGCTGCCTGGGATTGCAAGGCAAGGCAGGTGACCAGCTCCCCTGGCCTGACTCTGGCTCTTTCTGCAGAGATCTACCTGCAAGGCTGCTTCAAGCCTCTGGTCTCCATCTCTCCTAATGACAGGTGGGTGTCCCCGCTCATTCACCTGCGCCTCCTCCTCCCACAGTCCCCTTCCCCAGTCCCACTCAGCTCTGAACTCACCTCTTCATCCTAGGCGACACACGGACAAGGGAGCCTTGGTGCTCTGCCCTCCTTTTTAGGGGGCTGGGATGGCGGGTGTCTCTCCCCAGGCTGCCTCGAGGCTCACTGCTCCCATCTCTGCAGCCTGTTTGAAGCTGTCTACACCCTCATCAAGAACCGGATCCATCGCCTGCCTGTTCTGGACCCGGTGTCAGGCAACATACTCCACATCCTCACGCACAAACGCCTACTCAAGTTCCTGCACATCTTTGTGAGCCTGGGCCCAGGTGGGAGGAAGCGGGAGAAGGGTGATCAGAGGGCCTGAGGAGTCTTCAGCCCTAGGAATCGGAGGGAGGAGCTGGGAGCCCTCTTGAAGCTGCTGGATCCCTGATCTCCACCGGGTCCCCTTCCTAACCAGGGTTCCCTGCTGCCCCGGCCCTCCTTCCTCTACCGCACTATCCAAGATTTGGGCATCGGCACATTCCGAGACTTGGCTGTGGTGCTGGAGACAGCACCCATCCTGACTGCACTGGACATCTTTGTGGACCGGCGTGTGTCTGCACTGCCTGTGGTCAACGAATGTGGTACCCAGCACAAGATGAGAGGCTTGGGCTGGGCTGGGGCCTGGGAGAACCTGGCAGGGGAGAATATGGGAAGGGCAGGGGTTCCCATGCCATCCCTGTGGCGGGTACAGGATGGACTATGGATTAGAAGTCTCCATCTGCTCTGAGACTTGGGCCGGTTGCTTAGCCTCTCTGTGCCTCAGTTTCCTCCTTTGTGAAATGGGATTCTTCACAACACTCATCTTTCTGACTTCACAGGAGGATTTAAAAGGTTATATGCACGAAAATGAGCATAGTGACAGGAAGCAGCAGATTTTAGTTTTAGTTCATCTTAAAATGGAGCCAGGCACGTGGTGCACGGCTGTAATGCCAGCACTTTGAAAGAGGCCAGAGCGAGAAGGTAGTTTGAGGCCAGAAGTTTGAGTTTACATACAGTGACACTTCAGGCTGGGCAACAGAGCAAGACCCTGTCTCTAAAATAATAACGAAATAATAAAATTTAAAAAGTAAAATGTGCCATGGGACCTCGGGCCCCTAGCCAGACCTCAGTTTCCTACACTGAAAAAGGGCTAGAGGGACAACAAGATTATTTCTTTGGTTGAATGATGGCTATGAAATATTTCAAAGCTAAAATCACCATAATTAAGATAGATATCAAGAACTGTTTTCAATTTATTTTTGATTATATAAAACTTCAAACGTATGAAAATGGTACAAAGAAATTGCATAATGAACCACCTATATCCATTGCCTAGATTAACTACTGTTACTGTATTGCCATAAACAGTTCATCTCTTCTCCGAAGTAATTCAAAGTAAATTACAGACATCATGTCATCTCACCCCTAAACATTTTAGTCTGCACCTCTTAAAACAAGTGTATTTTTGGCCAGGGGCGGTGGCTCACACCTGTAATCCCAGCACTTTGGGAGGCCAAGGTGGGCGGATCACAAGGTCAAGAGATCGAGACTATCCTGGCCAATGTGGTGAAACCTTGTCTCTACTAAAACTACAAAAAAAATTAGCTGAGTGTTGTGGCGCACACCTCTAGACCCAGCTACTTGTGAGGCTGAGGCAGGAGAATCGCTTGAACCTGGGAAGCGGAGGTTGCAGTGAGCCAAGATCACGCCACTGCACTCCAGCCTGTTAACAGAGCAAGACTCCAAAAAAAAAAAAAAAAAAATGCATTTTATACCACCAAACAAAACCATGAATAATTCATATTATTGTCTGGTATCCAATCCTTATTCTCACTTCTCCATTTCCTCAAGAATGTTGGGCTTTTTTGTTGTTGTTTTGAGACGGAGTCTCGCTTTGTCACTCAGGGTGGAGTGCAGTGGCACCATCTCGGCTCACTGCAACCTCTGCCTCCTGGGATCAAGCGATTCTTGTGCCTCAGCCTCCTTAGTAGCTGCGATTACAGGCAACCCCCACCACGCCCAGCTAATTTTTTGGGGGTGGTATTTTTAGTAGAGATGAGGTTTCACCATATAGGACAGGCCGGTCTCCAACTCCTGACCTCAAGTGATCCACCTGTCTTGGCCTCCCGAAGTGCTGAGATTACAGGCATGAGCCACCACGACCGGCCAAGATTTCTTTTCTTTTCTTTTTTTTTTTGAGACAGAGTCTTGCTTTGTCGCCTGGGCTAGAGTACAATGGTGCGATCTTGGCTCACTGCATCCTCCACCTCCCGGATTCAAGCAATTCTCCTGCCTCAGCTTCCCGAATAGCTGGGTTTACAGGTGCATACCACCACACCTGGCTAATTTTTTGTATCTTTAGTAGAGATGGGGTTTCACTATGTTGGCCAGGCTGGTCTTGAACTCGTGACCTTGTGATCTGCCCACCTCGGCCTCCCAAGGGAATGTATTTTTTATAGTTGATGTGTTCAAAACAGGACCCAACTGAAGTCCATGGTTTACATTCGTGTCTTTTGTTCCTTAAATCTCTTTAAATCTAGAACAACCCCATTCCCCCTAAATTGTTATGACATGGGTGAGTTGAAAAGCCCGGGTCAGTTGTCCTATAGGATACCCCACATCCAGATTTGTCTGTTTGCTTTCTAGAGCTGGCCTTTACTTTGTTCTCTAGTCCTGTGTTTCCTGTAAACTGAAATTATATCTAAAGACTTGAAGAGATTTGGGCAATAAATTCAAGGCTAGACTATTTCGTAGGTGATGCCGTGTTACTCACACTGCATTTCCTCAGGATGTTCGACGTCAGGTTGTCTCACTCTGGGATGCTAAGTTTGATCCTTGGGTTCTGATAGTGGCACCCTGATGCAAATAGCCCTAGGCCCTCTACACAGCACCCTGGTTCTGATCGGAGGCTCTTCCCTGTCTTTCTCTCCCTGCCCCCACCCACCACTCTCTGCAGGTCAGGTCGTGGGACTCTATTCCCGCTTTGATGTGATCGTAAGTGTCCCTGGAAAGGTGGGATGCTGTAGGGAGACTAAGGGTGTGGGAATGGGTGGGGGGCCTCTGTCAACCAGGGGAACCTTGACAAGTATGCAGGGGTTGACATCTGTGGGGTAGGAGCCCAGGCAAGGGGGTGACTAGGAGCCATGCTTCTCTCTCTGCCCCAGCACCTGGCTGCCCAGCAAACCTACAACCACCTGGACATGAGTGTGGGAGAAGCTCTGAGGCAGAGGACACTATGTCTGGAGGGAGTCCTTTCCTGCCAGCCCCATGAGAGTTTGGGGGAAGTGATCGACAGGATTGCTCAGGAGCAGGTACCCTGTGCCCTCCATTCATGCCCACAACACATATAGCCCAGTCCTTCTCATGCACGGCTCCAGCCATCCCTGAACATCGGGGCACCTGGCCTATCCTTCCATTTCATGACCAACTCCTGGTGCCCACACTGGCCTGCACTTTGTCCTGTCCATGGGCCCCTTATGCCAGGGGTCACTGCCAGCTGATCGCCCAAGGCTGGTCACAGCCATCCCTAACGGGCTCCTAGGAAACACTCTCTCCCCAGGTGATGGTGGGTTGTTTCTCCTGATTCTTGGCACCAACCTCAGTAGCTGCTGTAGCCCCATGGCTCTGCCCCCTCACTGAACACTATGGACCCACAGGTACACCGGCTGGTGCTAGTGGACGAGACCCAGCATCTCTTGGGCGTGGTCTCCCTCTCCGACATCCTTCAGGCACTGGTGCTCAGCCCTGCTGGCATCGATGCCCTCGGGGCCTGAGAAGATCCGAGTCCTCAATCCCAATCCTCTTCCACACCTGGAAGACAATGAAGGGAGCCAGGGAACTCAGCCTTCATCTTCCCCCACCCCCATTTGCTGGTTCAGCTATGATTCAGGTAGGCTCTGCCCTGGGCCATGACACCAGCCTCTTAGTCTTCCTGATTTCCTGGATCTCAGATTGGGATGCCCTGAGGACGGGAGTGGCCAAGCTCAAAGCTGAGCAGCCCTGTGAAAACTACAAGTGTAAGGACTTGCACGTCCCCACTTTGTCCCATTTTCAGCTGACGTCACGGAGACTCTCCTAGGAGGGAGTGACAGAGCCCCGGCTAAAGGCTAAGGCAGCGATGTGACTTCAGACACTCTGGGAAGATTTCCTTGTTCCCTCACAATTCAATTCCCACCTGCTGGGAATTCCATTAGAAGGAAGAAAGTTATGTAAACCTTTGTTGGATGGAATTTCCATCCCCAGTAAGAACTAAAGCTTAAAGGAAGGAGCTTCTACCTCCATGCTCATCTCAGGAAATGTGACATGATCTCAGACTCTTTCTTGGTCACACGTTTGCTAGGGGCTTGCAGAGGATGGGCACAGATTCTGTCTACTCGCCATGGCTGGCAAGAGTCCCCTGTTGGAAAGGCAGCTGCCCCTCCTACGTGGTCACCATCTTCCCTTTTCTTTTCCTCACAGGCTTCTTCAGCCTTCCCAGATTGCCCTTGCCCTGCCTGTGTTCCCAGAAGCCCTCGGACATGCCCAGTGCACCATGGCATGATGAAATTAAGGAGAACAGCTGAGTCAAGTCTGGAGGTCCCTGAACCAGAGGCACTAGGATTACCCCAGGGCCATCTGTGCTCCATGCCCACTCATCCCCTTGCAGCCTAACTGGGTCGGACGGCCCCAGTGGGTTTAGTCAGGGCTTCTGGATTCCTCGGTTTCTGGGCTACATATGGCTCCAGCCTTCAGCTCCTGGGAGTCCCAGCTGTTGTTCCCAGCAATGTCGCCACTGCCCTCCTACTCTCCAGGCTTTATCATTTCAGAGCTGCTGAAATGCTGCTTTTCAGGGGCCACCATGGAGCAGCTGTTATTTCTAGAACTGCCTGTTGGAGGTGGGGGTCCTCCCTCCATTCTTGTCCAGAAAACTCCTTAGCTCTCGCAGTGAGCAGTGTTCTGTGTCCCCAGAGATGGATGGCCTTGTATGTGGACCCCTATGAATGAGCAATTGAAAAAAACACAACAAAAGGAACAATCCACGAACTTAGATTTTGTAGGTTTCTCTCAAAATGCTGCAGTCTTTGACTTGAACTTGTGGCAAGAGACTTGTGCTTTCTGAATTCAAAGACAAAAAGGAAATTTGACAAAAATCGCAAGTGGCATTTCTTTTGCATGTAGTGCTATTCTACTGAAATTTCTTTCTTCTCTTTTCTTTACAAAATTGTAAAGAAAATATTAATTCATTGCTTATATAGTAGGTACAACTCGGCCTACAAACTCTAATCTGCAAGAAGCATAACTTTATTTTTCTAACACAGAATGTAATTTCTATTAGGAATCCCGTTTCACCAGGTTTTAGAAATTAATCTCAGTCAATTCAGAGTCTCCCCGGACCTTTTCCTGGGGTTAAGCTCAGTGGGGTTGCGGGGGGGTGGCTTTAAGTCGTGTAAGACTCTGGTCCTCAGTCATCATCATCTGTCCATTTCAGCACCTGCTTGGACATCCTATCTGGTCATCAGTTGGTCATGCATGGTCTGCCAGGGGCTCCTTCACGTCCACAAAGCCTCTTTGGGGGCCTGTGGCTTGGAGCATGTGGAACATTCTAGCTCCTGGCCCTGCACACCCTCTGGCTTCAGGAAGCTCAGTGATTCTGTTCCAGGCCAACTGCTAAGATACAGAGCCCAGTCACCTGTTCCACTCTGTGGCTTGCTGTTTTCCCAGGCTCTTCCCAGGAAGCCTGTGGGTTCTTCTACCCAGTGCTTGCCTACCCTTATCACCTCCAAACCTGTATGGTGTATTTGTCATACTTTCCCCCTCTTTAGCCGCAACCTCCTTCTCAGGGTCCTTTTCTCAAGGATTCCAGAAATGTCAACAGTCGCCTTGCTCCCCAAGCCCTGCCAACCCATGGAATCTTGACCAGTCGGGGAGAGAAGAGGCTTTTATTCTGTAACCCATCATATATTCTTCCAAATGCACTGTAAGTGTCCCGAGTTCTTGCCATCCACCTTCAGAATCAAGCCTTTGAAATTCCGAAGCCAAGGCTCGCTTCTGCTATGTCACCTTCCCCGTGGCAACGGGCTGGCTGTCCAGAGGAGGGGGAGGTTACTGTCCCTAAAACGTGACTCCTTCCCCTTACCTCACAGAGCAAGAAGGCAGAGGCTTTGTACTGAATTGGTTGGACCATAAATGAAGATGTTCTGTCACTAGACATTTTGCCAAAACCTGAGCGTCAGTGCTGGCTTTGCTGTGGTCCCACCCGAGAAGGTCCAGGGTCTTGGGCTCAAGGGAGAGGATTGGAGTTCGGTGATGGTTGGGTCTGGGCCCAGAGGATCTCTCCAGTGACAGTGCTCCTGGGGAGCCTGGGGCTCTGGAATCTTGTAACAGGTCGGTCCTTTGAGGCTGTGCCTCTGGGCGGCTCTGCTCTGTGCATGAGAAGGATCTTCAGCGGTGCTAGGACAAGCAACTGAGAAAGGCACTTTTTGCCCCTCCTGCTCCCCTTGCCATCATGGGAGCAGATCTGTCTCTACCTGTCTGGACTCACCATCCTAAAGACCCGGCAGTTCTTCCCTTCCGGACCTTCTGTAAGGGCACATGCCACTCTCCCTGCCTCTGACCCCTCCTCTGGTCACAGCCCAGCCCTTGCAGCCATCATGGCTGCTAGAAAAGAGTTACGGAGTTGCCACCGGGGCTGCGGCTGCTTTTTCCACTCCAGCTCAGAATCAGAGACGCGCCCTGTGTGCAGCCTGCAGTGCTGCCCACTCTATTCCCGCATGTGAACTTGGGGCGAGGCTGGTTTTCCACGCATTGCTGCCTCCGTGCCCCCAGCCCCTCCTCAGACCTCTGAGGGCCTCTCTGGGTTTCTGTAACTTCCTTCGCTTTCCCGTCTCTCTTCTCACAACCCCTTCAGTAGCTCTCCGCCCTGGATGTGCATCAGGATCAGCAAAGAAGCCTTACAAAATGCAGATTCCAGGGCTCCATTCCTACGGGTACTAATTTCCTCATTTGGGGGTGGGAATTGAGCAACTGTATTTATTTTCTATAAATGCTAGAGACTTATGATTAATAGCACATGATGAACATGAGACTGGGCTGAAAAATGAGGATGCCCCATGCTCATAGCTAGTCAATCATTTGTCATATGATAGGGTCTAGCTATTATTTAATTATGCCTGCAGTCTCCAAGAAGCAATGACTAAGGGTAGTGGTGCAACATAGATGTATGACTCATTACCATTCTCACTATCCTTCTCCCAGATATCCTTAAATGCAGAAGTGTTCATTACAATATCCTACATGTTCCTTTCATGAAAATTGTCCAAGTTTTTGTTTGATATGCATATTAAAGCTGGAGTCACAAATAATGACCTGGAAACAAACTCCTATTACCAAGCCAAAATGCACTAAGAGCTAAAACTTCCACAGAACCTGGGCTGTATATAGCCAGGCAATACTGGGTACCCCATCTATTTTTGTTTACAAGAGTGCTGCCTTGGCCAGGCGCAGTAGCTCACGACTGTAGTCCCAGCACTTTGGGAGGCAGGTGGATCACCTGAGGTCAGGAGATCAAGGCTTAGCCTGGCCAACATGGTGAAATCCCGTCTCCACTAAAAATACAAAAAATTAGCTGGGCATTGTAGTGAGCACCTACAATCCCAACTACTCGGGAGGCTGAGGCAGGAGCATCGCTTGAACCTGGGAGTTGGAGGTTGCAGTGAGCCAAGATTGCGCCATTGCACTCCAGCCTGGGCGATAAGAGTGAAACTCCATCTAAAAAAAAAAAGAAAGAAAAGAAAAGAGTGCCGCCTTGTTTAAGAAGACTAGTTGTTTTCTTAAAGTCTTACCCGAAAATATGGATCTCAATTTGGCCAACAATTTCAAATTAGCTGGGGTATGAGTAACACAATGTGTGTTGTATTTTCAGCCAAATGTCGATCTGCTGTGCGGAACCAACAATCCTTAATCCGCTGTTGTTCTTTCTCTATAGAGGCAGGTTGGGGTTGGCTCTCAGGGAGCCTCACTGTGACATCTCTTCATGGTGACGCTTGGGGGCCCTGAGCTCCTGAGAGTCTCGGGGCCTGGAACTGTGCCCCATCACTGGCCACTGATGAATTCTGTCCCAACCCTCAAACCAGGGGTGATGTGTTTCTCCCTCCAGAGAAAAAACTGCTGGGAAAGGAACTGAGACTATGACCACATCCATCCTAGACATATTACATATGTATCTGAATGAATCACTGTCAAAGAAAGTGATTTTTTCATTTATATTAAGTAAGTCTTGTCCAGGCATTGTGATGGAGTATAAACAGAGGTCATTTCACATACACTTGAAGTACACATGTACACATGAAATTTATGAGAGAATCTCATGTACACTGAGGGTCAGTGCATTTTTCTGTAGGTATATTATAGGGCAATAAATATATTTTAAATATTAAAAAAACAAGTATAAAGATAAATTACTTTGACCATATGCTATATTTTGTTTTTCTCTGTTTGGGGATGGGAGACTTTGATTCTATTCGTCCCAATGCCATGTGGGCGGGCTTTCTAGTGGCAGCTCCAGTAGGCAAGGTTTCACATTTGTGTTCATAACTCTTCAACTCTCACATCTTGTGTTCTGTCACTGATGCCAAAAACTTTGCGGGGAGCCTCTGAAGCTGTGCCTACACCTCATCAAAGGGTGAGGAAACAGCCTCACAAGGACTTCGTGACTTCTCCCATCGGCTTAGTTCCTTTCTCCTCTGCATTTCCAGTTTCCAATTTGAGATTGGATTTTAGGCCCTGTAGATACATGACAGGGCAGTGCTGCCTCAGAACTTCCTGTGGTGCCTCTAGGACATTGGTGACCCCCAAGAATCTTCTGCAAGTATTGATTACATTGACATCTATTTTTATAATAATCTTATCAAACTGATCTTCACAGATTTCTTTCACTTGAGATATAATTAATATGCCATACAATTCACCCTTCCAAAATATACAATTCAAGCCGGTGTGGTGACTCACACCGGCAATCTCAGCACTTTTGGAGGCCAAGGTGGGTGGATCACACTTGAGGTCAGGAGTTCGAGATCAGCATGGCCGACATGGTGAAACCCTGTCTCTACTAAAAATACAAAAATTAGCCAGCAGTAGTGGCTTGTACCTGTAATCCCAGCTACTCGGGAGGCTGACATGGGAGACTTTACTTGAACCCAGGAGGTGGAGGTTGCAGTGAGCCGAGATTGCACCACTGCACTCCACCCTGGGAGACTGATTGAGACTCCACCTCAAACAAACAAACAAAAACCAAAATATACAATTCAGTGATATTTAGTATATTCAGAAAGTTAAGCAAAGTTAGTGATGACCACTATCTAATTCCAAAACATCTTCATCACCCTCAAAACAAACTCATTAACAGTCACTCCCCATTCTCTCGTCCCTCCACCCTTGGCAACCAGTAATCTACTTGCTGTCTCTATAGATTTGCCTATTCTGGACATTTTGTATGCATGAAATCACACAATATGTGGCTTTTTTGTGAGCTTCTTTCCATCTGCATAAGGTTTTCAAGGTTCATCCATAGTGTAGCGTGAATCAGCACTTCATTCCTTTCTTATGGGTGAATAATATTTCATTGTGTGGATACACAAGGTCTTCCTGGACTTCTACGTGAGATCAGTTCATTAACTGAGCTGCAAGACTGTGAACACTGACATCATCTTGCACAACTGCTACAAAACCCCAATCCAAGTCTCATCACAGACTTCCCCTCACCCAAGCACCACCCATGTTGTTTTGGCAGCTCGGCCTTGCTGGTTTGAAGGAGCAGCACACTAGGGAAGGCAGAATTCCACTCTGGTTGACTTTGTGACACAGATCCTGGCAGCCTCGGGGCCCAGCCCCAGCCTCTGTATTTGCAAGAAGCTCTCACAGGTGGATCACTACACAGGAGGGGTTGAGAGCCATATCTGTATAATCAGTAATTCCTCCCAATTCCCTCTAGGTTCTTCTTTTATTTTTCTTTATTTTCTTTTTGAGATGAAGTCTTGCTCTGTCACCCAGGTCGGAGTGCAGTTGCACAGTTTCGGCTCACTGCAACCTCTGCCTCCTGGGTTCAAGCGATTCTCCTGCCTCAGCCTCCCTAGTAGCTGAGATTACAAGGGCATGCCACCACACCCAGCTAATTTTTGGGGTTTTTTTGTTTTTTTTGTTTTGTTTTGTTTTGTTTTTTAGTAGATACAGGGTTTCACCATGTTGGCCAGGTTGGTCTTGAACTCCTGACCTCAAGTGGTCTACTCGCCTTGGTCTCCCAAAGTGCTGGGATTACAAGCTGGGTTCCCCTTCTCAATGTAGAAAACTCTGTGTCCTCCTCTCCCCTTCCCTTTTCTTCCCTTCCCCCTATTCCAGTCTCTTTTTCAGGAAACATTTATTAAGCACCTCTCAGGTACTAGACACAGTTAGACACTGGGATCCAACATTAAAGAAGCCTGATTTGTGCCCTTCAGGGGATTCACAGTTGGGGAGAGAGCTGGATCTCTAACAAAGTGAGCATGCTGACAGCTCAGCTCTGTAAGCAGGGGAGGGGAAGGTGGGACACAGGATTGCTCGGAGAGGTCAGGAAGGGCCCTGCAGAGGCAGTGACATTTGAGCTGAATCCTAAGAAAAAGCAAGCTCTCTGTGATGACATGACAGTTGGGGAAGAGCGTGTTCCAAGAGTGGGGACAGGAGATACAAAGTGTTGAGGCTGGAAAGAGCATAATGTGCTCAGAGACATCCAAGGAATTCAGGCTCAGCTGTGAAATGGTGACCACGGCCAGGGTGCAGGGTGCCAGGGCACAGTGGGTCTTATGAAGCACAGTAACAACTTTGAACTTGACCTGAGGGCTGAGGGCAGTTCTGAAGTATTTTAATCAGGGCAATGACATAATTTTTTAAATGAGTTCAAACCCTATAATTCCCACAGGCCCAAGAAAGTGAACTTTAGGTTGGCGCGGTGGCTCATGCCTGTAATCCCAGCACTTCGGGAGGCCAAGGCAGGCAGATCCCTTGAGCTCGGGAGTTCGAGACCAGCCTGGTCAACATGGCAAAACCCCATCTCTACAAAAAAAAAAAAAAAATCAGTCAGGCAAGGTGATGTGCGCCTGTAGTTCCAGCTACTCAGGAGGCTAAAATAGGAGAATCGCTTGAGCCTGGGTTGAGGATGCAGTGAGCCAAGATGGCGCCACTGCACTCTGGTCTGGGTGACAGAATGAAACCTTGTCTCAAAAAATCAAATTAATTCTTTAAAAAGAAAGTGAACTTCATTTTTTTTCTATGACTGTACCAAAATTTACTGCTGGGACTCTGAATTTTCAAGCCAGTGCCGTAATGCATTGGCTCTCAATGGCAACCCACTTTCCTTCGAGTGGCCTTCCTGTACTAAGGAGGCTGGAAAGTTAAAAGCTATAATCCCTAGGCTCCCTTGCAGCTAGTGCTCCAGGCAGGACTTAGGTTCCTCCTCTCAGCTGTATGTGAAAGATGTGGAAGGTGGAAGAGAGGTAGAGGCCCCTGCCCTTTCTGCTATCAGGAGCAGTCACGAGGCATTCATAAAGGTCCAAGTCCAGTTACTGCTGACTTCATGGGTATTGAGAGGCAGGATGGGGGTCATCCTGTGTGACATGTTTTGTTTTGCCGGCACAGACCTACTTGAACTTAGTTGAATGGAGTAGCTCTAGAGCCAATAGTTGTAGCAATAGCTTCTAGACTCTCATCCTCCTGATTGTGGCCAACATGGTGCTCCCCAGGCTGCTCAGTGCCTGCTAGAGGTCAACTCTAGCCTGGTCTCGAGCACCTCCAATAATTTTTGTAGCACCCCATTGCTTATATCTCTGCTCTTTCTGTTCAAAGAGGGTGGTTTCTATTCTCTACAACTGCTACTTGACCGACACAGTGCTCGGGAGTCACTGCAGTTCCTGCTTGGTGTGGCCTCAACCAGTGCCACATGAAACCAAGGCCTCTTTGTGAGGTCTGGGAAAGCAAAAGATGTTCTCAGTTTCCAAGGACCGGGGTGGCTGTGCCTCTCACCATGACTCAGTGGAGAAGGGGAATTCCCTCAGATGCTGGGTAGTCAAAAAAAATGACAAAGGTCTCCGATAAGAAATAAAAGTCCCTTTATTTTATATTCTACCCAAGGACAGCAATGCAATAAAGCGGTGGCCTTTTATCTGAGAGGGAGTTGCTCAAAAATGATAGAAGTGGCAAAAGCTCAGGGTCTGTGGGAAGTGCAGGGAGTTCCTCCCACCTCTCAAGTCTGGCGGCCTCCTTCTCTCCCTCCTCATCTGAGACATGCGGCAGCCAGGAACCACTATGCCAGGGCTGGAGCCTCTAGGACAAGCCCCAGCAAGGTGGGGACTCAGCTCAGCACTGTCTCTGCAGGAACTGCAGGCCCACTTTCTTATTGGGAACCAGGACAATGCGGGCCACACTCTTCAACTCCCCCGTCTCTGGGGCCAGGACCACCTTGTACTTCTGGATCAGCTGGGGGGCAAAGAGCACATGTGGTTGGGTGGACTATGTGTTTGCCATCCACTCCCCACTCTGCACACCCTACCCTGTGCCTCCCTTCCTCTCCTCCCAGGACTCCTCTACCCCTCCCTGCCCACACACCCTTCCAGTCTCTCCCAGCTCACCCTTGCCAGGAGTAGCTGCATCTCCAGCTCTGCAATCCTGCGGCCCAGGCAGGCCCGGACCCCATAGCCAAAGGGCACAGAGCCAAATGGGTGCTGGATCCTGGGGGTAGCAGGCTGGCTGCTCCTCAGCCAGCGATGGGGCTGGAAGCTCTCAGGTTCAGAGAAGGTGGTGGGGTCCCGGGACACCACGTAGTGGCAGAACACAAACTGGGTCTATGAAGGAAGATTGGGCAGCATGAATGCATCTCTTCGGGGGCATGGTGCACTCCTGGGCAATCAGGCTGTCTAGCCCCACTCACATTCTTGGGGAAGAGGAAGCCATCAACTTCAATTTCCTTTTCTATGATCCGGGAATTTGTGGGGACCACAGGGTAGAGGCTGCAGGGAAAAGAATATCTAGGGTCTGCTCTGGATTCATGGGGGTAAAAAGTGCCCCACTCCTTCTCCCCTACCTCTCCCATCTCATCCTTGTCACTAGCCCCAGCCCACCTGTCTTCACTTCCGATTTCCTCCTCTGATTCCCTCCCCACACATAGATCCTGTGCCCCCCAGAACAGCATCCTGTCCTACCGCAGAGTCTCCTTAAGTACAGCTTTGAGCAGCGGCAAGTGGGCAAAGTCTTTGTGCTGGGGCACCTGCCCGGCTGGCACCACACCCACCACTTCCTCGTGCAAGGCCTCCTGGATCTCAGGGTCCTTTGAGAGGTGGTACAGGGCCCATGTCAGCGTGTTGGATGTCTAGGAGATAGAGTGGGAGATGAGGTGAGGGCGATTTCTAGGAAAGAGGCCAGTAATGGGAGGGTGTATGAGTGGGTGTGTGCAAAATATGGGAGAAATGAATTTGCCACAAGCCTAGCAGGAAAAAACATGAAGGTTCATGGCAGCCTCCATACTAAACATGAATTCACAGTGGGATGAGGGCCAATATGATAGAGAATCGCACCTTCACTGGAGGAGGGGATGGCAACACAGAGAAACCCAACAGGACAAAAGCATTGGAAATATGAACTATAAAGAAAGAAGGTACTGGCCAGACATGGTGGTTTATGCCTGTAATCCTAGCACTTTGAGAAGCCAAGGCGAGCAGATCACTTAAGGTCAGGAGTTCGAGACCAGCCTGACCAGGTGAAATCCTGTCTCTACTAAAATTAAAAAAAAAAAAGAAAAAAATGAGCTGGGCATGATTGTGCACGCCTGTAATCCCAGCTACTTGGGAGGCTGAGGCAGGAGAATTGCTTGAGCCCAGGAGGCAGAGGTTGCAGTCAGCTGAAATCAAGCCACTGCACTCAAGCCTGGGCAACAGAGTGAGACTCTGTCCCAAAAAAAAGAAAAAGAAAGAAAGTGTTTATGAATGAGCTCTTCCAATTCTCCATTCAAATGGCAGCAAGACAGTTGGATAGATGTGAGA